TTCACAGAACGTACAGGCAGTGGTGACATGTGTGACAGGCATTTGGGATCAGAGAATTCCATGTTGCTGATCCAGAAGCCTAGGTGTGGCCATATTGTCATGGCAACTATTAAGCAAGTAAATAGGGTAGAGTAGTCATTTGACTTGTCTCCAGTGATGTTCAGTTTGTTTTTGAATTTCTACTCTGTGACTCTTCTGCTCTGAAGCCAAGTATAGATAGATGGTACTTTGGTTCAGCTCCCAAGTTTTCATTTCTCTCAAATGAAGTTAAGAGTTTTTAAAAATAGAAACACATCAATGTTAACCATTTTCAGACTGGATGGGTTTCCTGAACTTTGTCTTTTTAATGCTTTACTTCTGCTCTTTAGAGCATTTTCTGAGCACCAAGAAGAGCTATTACTCTTTTCTCCTGGCAGAGAATTCCCTAAGATAGAAAATGACACATGTGGTAATTATATAAATTCTTTTATATTCCTGTAAGTATCTTGACCCTCTACTATTTGCAGCTGTTTCTCGGGAGGAGTAGATTGGATAACCAATAAACCTTGCCACTTCTGCAGTGGGACTTAAGGCAGCAGAGGAAGACTAGTGTCTAAGGATTTGTTAGCTTTTATCCAGAGTCCTATGACTCTTCACATGCTGTGCTTTAAAACAAAATAAGTGAAAGGGCATAAGCTGTGTTCGAGTGAGGAAGAAAACCCTGGAACCTATTTCTCTGGTCTGCAGAAGGCCTACCTGCTACCTCTAACTGCAGACTTAAGACAATCCAATATTGGCCAGCTGCTTTACGGGCCATTGTGAGGCCACAGTCAACAGCATAACATCTTCCCATTGATGTTCAAACTGAGAATTGCCTGAGCGTGGTATCCCCTGCCAAGAGGTAAATTAGAATACACCCTCATAACCTATCAAAGGCCAAAATTAAAATGTGATGTTTTCCTCTAGCAGGCAATGGAAAGAGGAAAAAAAGATTACACTAGGAAGTTTCAGAGAGGTCTGAACATTCTGGTCCAGATGGAGTTTTAAGCACAGGGAATTTTATCCCAAGGGACATTTCGGCAATGTCTGAAGACATTTTTGTCACAACTGGAGGAGTAGAAGGTGCTACTGGCATCTAATGATCTAGAGGCCAGGGATGCTGCTAAAATCCTCAGTGCACAAGACAGCCCCCCACAACAAAGAATTATCTGGCCCACAGTGTCAATATACCACGATTGAGAAATGCTGGTCTAGTGACTAGAGTCTTCTGAATTAGAAAACCTAGATTCTACCGCTGCCTTAACTACTTGCTGTATGAACTTGAGGGATACCCCAGACTTCTATGACCTTGGTATCTGCATACACTCCATGCATTGGTGTTTCTATATCCTGGTGGGTGGAGTAGTTGGGGGAATTATACTTCCTGAAATATTAGACTATAGCTAAGGATCAAGTAGGTTTCCAGATTCTGTAGTCCATTAGAAAGTTCAGAGAATAGCTGGACATAGTGGCTCATGCCTGTAATTCCAGCACTTCAGGAGGCTGGGCAGGTGGATCACCTGAGGTCAGAAGTTCGAGACCAGCTTGGCCAACATGGCGAAACTCCATCTCTACTAAAAATAGAAAAATTAGCTGGGCGTAGTAGTGGGCGCCTGTAATCCCAGTTACTTGGAAAGCTGAGGCAGCAGAATTACTTGTATGGGGTGGGGGAGGTTGCAGTGAGCTGAGATCATGACCCTGCATTCTAGCCTGGGCAACAGAGTGAGACTCTGTCAAAGAAAGAGAAAGACAGAGAGAGAGAAGGAAATGAAGAAAGGGAAGAAAGAAAGATAGAGAAAGAAAGAAAGAAAAGAAAGAAAGAAAATTCAGAGAATAGAATTATTTCTTCTGGAGTTTAAGATAAGTTTAGGACTGATCTGAATAAGGCACCATGGGATTAGGGTGACTACTGTCCCTGTTTGCTACTATTGAAGAGCTTCCTGGAACACGAAACTTTCACTGCTGAAACTGGAAAAGTTTTTGGTTAAAAAGGGTTATTGGTCACCTTGCATGTGTTAGTGGTTTTATCAGGTGGAAAGCTGGGACTGTTACATGCTAGCTTTGGGAAGCTACTTGCTGCATGCACACCTTGAGGAGTCAA